TCTAGAGAAAACAATGAGCCATTGCTTATACTAAGCTCTACAAAATGTTACTACTCACAGCTTCTCCAAAAGCATATCAGTCATCTGAATCCGATAAGGATCAGCCGGATCCATCTGTTTCACTATACTCGTCAGTTTCTGCACCATCCTACACAGTCCTGAGTATCTGCCAAAAAACAAAGAAACCAGACTCAAAAACCATTCTTCATCACAAAACACTGAAACCAAAACAAGAATAAGCAGAACAGAGCATTGAGAGAGCAGAACAGAGCAGAACAGAGCATTGAAAGAAAGAGATAAAGGTACGAACTTTTTGTAATCGTCACGAGAGCCCATATGGTATCGATAGGTAATCTCGTTCTCTCGATGCCCACCTTCTCGTTTCCATTCTAAGAAATTTACTTTCTTTGCAAGCTTCTTCTCGTGTGGCTTGAGCTGCCTCATCTGAGGATTATGCGGAAATTAGGGTTTTATTCTTCAACCAACACAGATTAATCACAAAATCTACACGAAAATATCAATTTATGTACAATTAGTCTACCTGTGAGAGAGATTAAAGGGCGAGGCTCAGAGGAACGGCGGTGATGATTTTTGGGTGATGAGCAGAGAGGAAATTGCTAGAGACTCTAAAACCCTAATTACCAAAGGAGCTCACTTTTTTGGGTGATGATTGGACGATTTGTTTTTTTTAAACTTTTTTTTTTTTTTTTTTCAAAATGCTACGATTTGATTTTAAAATTTGGACGACAAAAAAAAAAAAGTTATATATTTTTTTTTAAGTTTTTAAAATTATGTTAATGGATGTAAACAAAATAAATTGTGTAAATAAATTTTTTATTGATAATTTATAAGACTTAACTCGCGATACACCACAAGTTCACAAGACAATGTTTTGTAACTAATTTTTTAAAAAATTTTAAGTTGTTTTTGTTTATTACAACGTCCCACGTCATGTAGAAAATCTTTTGAACCATTATAAATCGGAATGAGCAGGAAGCTTGTTTTAAAAGTTTTATTTAGTTTAATCATGTTCTTTATTTGAAAAAATCAAAGCTTTTAAAAAGGTTCAGAAATATTATGTATTAAAGCTTTTACAAAGTTTCAACATATTATAATTTTTAATATATTTTTGAGTTTTTTGTTTAAGATTTTTGTTTAATGTACTTTATTTCTTCGTAAGTTATAAAATAATCAGTTTAGAGAACATATTTTTATCTCAAAATTTTCAATTTAATTTATGGTTTTGTTATTATATACTATAAAATCTATATATATATTAAATAAAATTTACTAAAAACCACCTTATTACTTCAACATAAATTTTAGTTTTAAAAGTTCATAAATAATATATGAGAATTTATTTCATTAACGATAAATAAGCAATTTAAGTTGGATATTTTTTTGCATCGAATGTTTCATAGTTTTAGTTCGGGTACCTGGTTACGAAAAAAAACCAGAGAGAACGAAGCTTAACCTAGCCGCCGCCGTCAAGACTTTGTTGCAGATGTGAGACCGAAGTGCGGTGGCTCCTTCAGCACTGGCTTCAGTCTCCCAGTTTGCTTAAGGAAATTTTTATGCCTTCGATTGTGGTTTTCTCTAGCTTAATTAGATTGTTTGGTTGGGTGTTTTGTGAAAGCGTTTGAGCATGCCAGTTCTTCATGGTTTCTAGCTCTTTCGAGGATGGTGCCGAATCTGAGATTGACGATTTGGCTTGGCTTTTCACCTTCTTAGAAACCCATTATGGTTTTTGCTTTTGTGCTTCATGTTGTTTTAGTGTTGTGTCTTGGTGTGTGTGACTGTTGTAGTCAATATTCACCATTCCTTGTCTCGATGCTCATCCTTTTGGTCTGGTTTTATCTTTTAGTGTCCCATTTGGATCTTTTCCATTCAAAGAAGAGGCCCTTGTTGTGTGAAGTTTGCACTTGGTTCTTTGGTTTCAGTTCGTTCGGCTCTTGGGTGAAAGTTGAAAGTTGCTAGTGATGATAACGCGTAGATGAATTTGGTTATTCGAATTCTATTGAGGTGGTTATGTTTCGCTCCTTGTCCTTGTGTTTCCGAATCTGGAGGATGTCAGATTGCTTGTTTATGGCTTTTATCTAGGCGTTAATTGACGATGTCGTCTTCGCTGCATCTGGAAGTGTTTGTTGAGGTTCTGTTTTGGGCCTTTGCTTGCCAGGTTATGAAGTCTTGGGTACTTGGTTTCGAGAGTTCATCTCTCTTTGTAATAGGAGGAAGCAGCTGTTATTGATGGGTTGGCCGCGGGCAACATTGATATTTCTCATTTGCAGGGACTTCAAAAGAAAAGATCTCTTTGTTGCCTTAGTACTTGTGCTTATCTTCGGGTTTTTTTTATATAGTTTGCCTCTACTCTTAGTCTTTGGTTTCGATCTCTGTCGTTCATGGCTTTAAAGTTTCTGTCTTCTTATTCTAGTTGTTCAGACCTAGTTTCCGGGGACTTTTTTTTTTGTCTGGTGGCTTAGTTTTTCCTTGTTTGGGCTTTAGATTCTGGGGAAATCTTCTTTTCCGCTGGTTTTTGTTGTATTTCACGTTATATCCTTCCAAGTATTATCAATAATATCAGTTGACAAATAAAAAAAAAAATAGTTTTAGTTTGTTATTTTCGAATCTTCTTATATGATTCTCTTACAAAAAGCATGGTTTGATTTGATCAGTAAATTGGTAGCCTTTCTATCATGTTTCAATAGGGGTTTGGGCAATATTACAACATAAATCTGAAATGTGACATGCAAAAAGTTACAAATATAAATGGAGACCCTTACTGTTATAGCCCATGTTTTACTATCAGTCGCACACATATTATGTCTCAAAAGTTGGCCAACCCCACAATATTTCCAACAATGTTTCAGAAGGTTCGAGCCTTATGCCGTTAATCCCCTAGAGTCCAGGGAAGACAGGGTGAAAGCACTATCAGCCGCACACATATTATGTCTCAAAAGTTGGCCAACCCCACAATCTTTCCAACAATGTTTCAGAAGGTTCGAGCCTTAGGCCGTTAATCCCCTAGGGTTCAGGGAAGACATGGTGAAAGCCTCTGGCCAAATGAAAATATCTAGTGATTTCGCGTATGAGGGGAATCAAGACCACGGTTAGTGTTGTGTTGAAACATTTGGGACTTAATGCTTAATCATTCCATGTTTTGAGTGCCTTACCTTAATTCGATCTAAGATGATATTTCCAAGATTTACTAGCTATAGTTCATTGAACTTAATTGCACAGACTCTATACTTTGAATCTTGTTACTAAAATTTGCCTTATTAATTTCACTGTTCTCTAAGAAAAGCACTCACACCATATCTTCTAATGTGTCCCTACTTCTTCAGAAATTGTTCTACGACCTACTCGTTCACATATGATATGATCATTGTTTTTATTATATTTTTCTTAGTCTAATCTAATAGTTTCTCGACCTTAATTATCAACAAAACTTGTTATATGGGGTGTAACATTATGTCTCTGAAATGATTAAGTTACAAACTTGATGAAATGCTTATTATCTACATATTTGGTTATTTCTCCAGCCAACTTAGCCGAGGAAACTTCGTTGCTATCAATGCATTCAGAAATATTTAGACATATTAACATCGTATAAATTAAAATATCACAAAAGTGTAAGGGGGGGGGGTTATTGGAGGAATGATTTTTAAAGATTGTTAGAGTTTGAGATTGTTGCTGGTTTATGAATTCTTAGATTCTTAATAAAATCTTTTGTTATTTGTGAGTTGATTTTATAATTTTATTTAAAGTCTTATTCAAAAAGTTGAGTAATGTATTTATTGATTTTACAATTCTATTAAACTCTAGTGTTATTGAGAAGATGATTTCCTACTTTTATGGTCATTAACAACAACTTTCAAAATACTGCACTTATCATAAGAATTTATAAAATCTATCATATAAAAAATCTACTAAACTCTACAAATCTTAGTAAACATTTATTGGAATATACAAAAATCTTTGAAAATTTTAAAATCTCTGAAACTTTTGAAATCCGCAAACTCTTTTGAAATCCCCTAATTTTCTTTTTTCTTGCGTTCTCTTCTCTATCTTTTTCTTCAGTAATACCTAGAATCAAATCAATCCATCAATTAAAAATCAGACCCAAAATTTACATGATTATGAATCTGCCTATATAACCTAAGAAATCGATCCAAAAGAAAAAAATGCTGAATCGAATCAAATCAAAAATGAAAACAGTCAAAAAGGAAGAAACTTGTAATTTATTGCGTTATATATAGGCCGTGTTTGTTTTAAAATCGCTGCAGCAGCGATCGACGACGGAAAATTATAACTTACTTGTTTGTCACATACGTGGGAATAACACGAACAACACCGGCATCACCTCTAAAACTAGTCGTAGCGATTATAGTAACGATCGCTGTTTTTCTTAGCGACAACCGAAAACACCGGTACCACCTCTTAAACTAGTCGCAACGTCACTTTCATTCTTTCTAAACCGTTTCTTATGTTGTCGATGACATTTAATATCTTGTCGCCGATCACTGACGCGCAACTATAAAATGAACACGGCCTATGGATCACATAAAAAAGTGGAGGAGAGACAATAAGGAGGGAGGAAAGGGCTTTATTACTTTACATTTAGTGCGATATATATGCAACTCGAATGAAGTTTTGTTTGCTCAGTTGGCTAGACGTGATTTATATTTATCAAAGGTCCTGAGTTCAAATTGAGGACTATCAATATTTTGATTATTTTTTTTCTTAAATGACTAAAACGACGTCGTTCAGTGATATTACGTAGTAAATACGACATCCTAATCAGTATTTATTAACAGAGTAGTAACATCGTTTATCAATTTGATGGTTTTGGTCGGTTTTGAATTGTTTGGGTTGAAAATTCAAATTTTAGTTAAATTCATGTAGTTATAAGCACGATTCAAAGTTTTGTGTATGAATACTATAAAACTCGAAAGTTGGGGATTAAACCATGTCCATCCTAAATTTGAAAGTTAATGATTTTTTTTTGACATTTTCCCATTTTTTAATTTTATTAATTTGTTTTGTGGGCGGTCAGGCGAAGCAGACGCTCCTGAGAATATTACTTCTCTTCTTCTTCTTCTTCATTTGGTAAGAATAAGCCAAAGCAATCCCAAAAACCCTAACGGTACTGTGTAGAAGCTATATACACCATTAACCTACTTCACCTCTGCACGCAAGAGCCGATTCGTTTCCCAATCAAGATTTTTCTTTCCTAAAGCCCTAAAATTTTCGATTTTCGATTTTGATTTTGAAGAATCGGAACATTTTGGATGTCTCCTGCAGCGGTGGAGATTGGGTCTCCGGTTGAAAATTTCACTGCATTATTCCCGGAGAGTGTTCACTCTCACGATCAAGCAAACATGGACCCTTCGTTCTCCTTTGGGTTTGGTGCTGGTTCAGGACAAAATACAAAGACTCGACTAAAGCCGAGGCTGGTGAAACTGAGGAAGAACGAAAGGAAGGTCAAAGGAACCTCTTTTTCCGGCGAGATCCTCTCAGGTTTCAACCCCTTTGCGCCGCCCAGTAACGGTAAGATTTATGGTGATTCCTTAGAAATCCAGCTTTTGATACTTTGAGCTGATTGGTTTGTTTTTTTGTTTCGTTAGGTAGTCTTCATATGAACAGTGGGGATAAATGTTTTGTCTTTGGAGCTAATGGGAATAGTTCTGGTGCAAAAGCTAGTCCAGGTAATGCCACTGTATCTTCTTTGTCTGATGAAGAGTTTAGTACACCTATAGGGGACTCTGAGTTGGGTTCGGAATCCAGTAAAAAACATTCAGATAGAGTTGTGCAAAAGGTAGATAATGAGAGCACAACTTGTGATGCGAAAACTGGACTCAAGTTTGATTGTGATGGAAATGGAAGCTGGAAAAGTGTTGAGAATCCAGATGCTGTCAAGGAGGACATATACAAGACATCTTGTTATGATACTTGTAGCAAGTCTAAGAGTTTTCACTTTGCTGATGGTAAAACTGTCCATAGAGATGGTCCTGAATTGAACCTGGCTGCTGACTTGGAGAAGCTTAATATCAGTGATTCCAGAGTTTATGGTGGCAGCGACTATGAGGAAGCAAGCAAATCCATTAACACACCTGTGTTTACTTTTGGTAACTTTGGAAAGGTTGATCCTAAATGTGAAGCGGCAACATCAGGGTCATGCTCTTTCAGTTCCAATGGTTTTCACCAAAGTAATAATGTAGAGGAAGTAAAACCAACTTTCCGCTCCAAGACCACCAACGTAAACAACCTATCAAACACTAGCTTTAGTACAGGAACATCCTTTGATGATTTCAAGGTACCCGTATGGGATCCTTCTTCGCTTAAGAACAGTCTGTTTCCAGAATTGAGTAGAATTCCAGTACACCAACGAAGAAATCGTTTGTCCAAGGACAGGAAATCGAAGAAAATCAAGGAAAAAATGAAACAGCCTGAGCCGGATCGATGCAACGATCGGACTTCTGCGGGAATTCAGGCTCAAGAAAAACTGAACTCCCCTGAAAATTGCTCACCCATGGATTATTCTCCTTATCAAGGTGAGAAAGCCAGCAATCAATTTACAACAGAAACTCCTCTGACATCATTTGGTCCCTCACATTCAAGCAAACATGACAATTCCCGTTTTAGCAATGACTCTAAGGTTGCCTCAGCTTGGGATTCATCTCTCTTCACGGCAGAGGATCATGGAAGTAGTTGTATGCCAAAGTTTTCTTTCTCAGCATCCACTTCTCAGGGAACAACGCCACACACAAAGCTTCAAGCTGTAAAGAAATATAGGAGGAAACTTAATAAAAGTTTGCCGAAAAACAATCTTAATGCAACCATGCGAAACAATCAAGAGAATCAACCTGTGAATACAAGTCAAGCAAAACAGGACACAGGCTCTACATCGATGATGCCTGATGTCTGTGAGGTCTGGCGGCTAAGGTATCATATACTTACTCAAGAGCTTGAACGTTGGCGCTTTTTGAATATTTTCTTTCTGAGAATTGATAAAAGTCATTTTGTGTATCAGGGGAAATCAAGCCTACAAAAATGGTTATATGAGTAAAGCCGAGGAATGTTACACACAGGGTATTAATTCCTCCCCGCCAAGTGATAACTCAGAATACTCTGTGAAACCTCTTGCACTATGCTATGGTAACCGTGCAGCAGCAAGGATTTCTCTTGGAAGATTGAGGGAGGCGATAACCGACTGTGAGAGAGCTGCTTCACTTGATCCAACCTACATTAAAGCGTATATGAGAGCTGCAAAGTAAGTTTAAGATGTATTTTTCCAGATTTTTTTTTTTTTAGAAATTAGTGTATCACCTGAGTCAAATTGTCTTATTTGTTTATGAATTTAGTAAATCCCACCAGCTAAAGTTTCAGATC